GGGTGACCCCTGAGAAAGGGTCGTTCGACCCCCAGGACTTGGACACGAGGTAGGGCTTAGGGTGCAGGCACCGTTTGGAGCAGGGAGTCTGTGAGCCCCGAGAGAAGGGGAGGGAGCCCCAGTGACAGCCGGGCAGAGGTGAAGACCCTATGTGGAGATGGGGTCAAAAGCCCCCACCCGGCACTGGCCAGAGATGCAGGGTGGCGGTTACCTCATGGTGCCGTCCCTGGATGTCCAGGATGTCCCGTTTGGTGACAGACCAGTGGAAGGTGAGGCCTGGCACGGCGTTGCCAAAGGAGAAAGGGTTCTGGCTGCTGGTGATCCCGGTGACATAGACTGGCATCTAGGAGCGAGAAGCCAAGCTCGGTGACCCCAGGGCAGGAGCCCTCCCCAAGGGCAGGCCGAGGGTGCCCTGGAACACAGGGCACCGCCAGGAGGGTGTCCCTCCCCTTTGAGGTCTGGGGACTGTGCTCGGTTCCTCCCCAGCTCAAGAAGGGCTCGGCATACATCTGGGAGGGTTTGAGAAAGCCAACAATGACACCGAGGACAGACCCAGTCTACGGCCGGCCACGAGGCGGCTCTTCTCTCAGGACAGGGAGGCCCGTCTCCAGACCTGGAGGAGCACAACACATCCTTACTGCCCTGTGGCCCCTCTCCTCCCAGGCTAGCAGGTGCTCCCTGCACACACAGGTGGGCACAGGTGCAGACTTGCGGGCACCCATCAGAGAGGAGACCATGTAGCTAAAGAGCACATGAACTGGGAGCCAACCTGCCTGGCTCCAATACACAGTGGCTGGGTGAACTGGGCATCAAGAGAACCTCTGAACGACCAAGGTGCCCTCTCTGGGAAAGGGGGAAGACATCACTGCTGCTGCCCGCATGTCTGCACAGAGAGCACCAGGCCAGTGGAGCGAGCGCTCGGCAAACACGAGCCCCTGTTACCATGCCAGGTGCTGGTCCAGATGTGGGCAGGCAAGTCACGAGAAGCAGCAGGTGTCAGTAACCGTATGGGCGTAGCAGCACGTGAAGGAGAGGAATGCTGTGCGCCACAGGAGTGTCATGCGGAGAACAAACAACAGAGAGAGGGTGCCCACTGGATGTGGGTGGGGAATCTGGAAGGCTTCCCCTAGGGGGTCTCTAAGCAGAGGGGACAGCACATGCCAAGGTTCAGAGGTGGATGGTGGTGGCCTCTCCAGGCTCATTCTGAAACAGGATTCAAAGTCCAAGGCTTCCCGAGAACACCTCACCTGGGTCCCTGTCCTCATCCGCGTGATGGGGGCCCGGATCCTCACTGCCCGGAGAAGCAGTACCTCCACCTCCACCTGATCCTAGGAGAAAGGTGTTCAGGCTCAGGCTGCCTGGAGATGGACTGGTGGAGTCTGTGCGAGAGGCGGGTGATTGAGGAGAGGACCCCTCTAAGAGAGGGGAGCCCCTGTTGCTGCCAGCTCAGTCACCTGGCTGGAAGGTACCTGCACACAGCGTGTCCAGCTCACAGCCCATCTTCCTGCGGCAGCCTGTCCCACATGGCCTGGCTCCTGCCTTCCCCGTCCTCTTGGGGGTCCCAGCCTGGTTTTCAGAGCTCTAGCTGCTCCAGATCAGAGACAGGCCTGTTCTTCTCTAGGCCCGGCACCCCCACTTCCTCCCAACACCAAACCCAGCACTGTCTCCTTCCATGTCTGACAGAGCAACGTGCAGGCTGAAGGCATGGCCGGGCGGAGTTTGATTAGAGCAGTTTATCCTCTTCCTCATTCTGAACGCGATGTGCCTGTTACGTTGGTCAAATGTGAATGTTATTGGTCACTTCACAGTGCGACAGGCTTTGTGCTAACGCTGGACTACTAAGCCTCTCAACGTTATGAGCTCACGCGGATGCCACCTTCTGTGCCTTGTGATGTGGGGTAACATCTGGCACACCCCATATGCTCAACCTTCGTTCCCCTCCTTTGTCCTCCTCACTACTGCTCGTCCTGACACCCCCTGCTGTCTCTGTGTCCAGGATAAGGGGCAGAGAAGCTGAGGATGGCACAGCCCGTCCATGTGCCAGGGCCACCAGGATGTGTCTCCTGAAGTTCTCCCCACCCACCAGATGGGGGCCCCAGAGAGGCAGGTGGTCCTGGAAGGTCAGACCACAAAGAGGAGAGGCAGAAGTCAGGCGGGCAAATGCATGCGTGGCATTTAGTTTCCCACCGGCTGACTTTTCAGCTACTTGGGCTCCCCAGATCAGAAAAACCCAGTCTGCTCCTGCGCCCTGAACCCTTTCTTTAGACAAAACAAACAAAACAAGGCCAGGCCTCCTGGGGTCGGTCTTTCCCCTCCGGGAAGCCCGGCTGCACGCTGCACCACGCTGCAGAGCGGCGATTTCAGCATCTCCGGAGTTTGCTTCCTGTCTTTACAAAATCAATACCCAGAATCGAGGCAGCCGACCCAGTGGTTCAGACTGGGTGGTTCACCTCGGACACTTGCAGGCAGACACGAAAACTGTGGGAAGACGGAGCCAAGCAATAGACTCAATGTCAGATCAAAGTCAAGTGCAGAGAACTCAGCTGGGTGTGCACCCCCTCTGCTCAGCCCCGGCTGAGGCACTGCTCCCAGGGACTCCGGCCTTCTTCCTCGGCGCTCAGACAGCTTTGGGAGCGCCTGCTGCTCGGGGGCTGTGCTCTGGGAAGTGACGAGTCCACCGTCATGTTCCTGGCGGTGGTGGCTGTCAAGCTGTCTCCCAAATGTCCTGGCAGAGACGAGTGAGCACTTCCGGTGCTGCATCAGTTTGTGGAATCTTCTCGGGTTGCGTCCCATCCCTTCCCAGGCCTGTGTTTTCCCGCCAGTGCCCTCCGTGCAGCTTGGACTTCCTCTGCCAACACCGTTGGTTCGTGGTCATATGCCGCCTCCTCAAACGGCTGGACACCGGCCCGTTCTCTCAGGAACAGTGACAGCCCCATGACCTGACACGCAGCGTTGCTCGCACTGACCGAGGTCCATGGAGCAGCCCTTACGGAGCTGCTGTCGAGCACAGACCCAGGATGCCACGGGGCCACCCGAGGGCCCGCGGGCCCTGCTCACAACGTGGAAGGGCCCTCCTCCCATATCCTTTCCAGAGAAGCAAAGAACGAAGATGGTCAGGCTTCAGAGAGATCAACTGCCCAGGGTCACAGCTCCTCGGGGCAGGGACACCACCCTGCAAAGGAGGCCTCTCTAGCTCAGGCTCCTGGCTTTCTGATGACCCAGGAAGGCACCCAGGAATGTCTCCAATGCTAACAAAGGCACCCGGGAGAGGCTGAATCTCTGGTGTGCAACAGCTGTCAGTGGACACCCCTGAGGTGTCCTTTGTGTCCTGGGAGTACACGCCCACGTCTGAACTTCTGTTGTTTTCCCAGAATCGCTGCAACCGTCACTGAGCACATGTATGAGACCCGGAGTGTGCTGGGGCCAGGAGCATCCTCTCCGCCCCATCCTTCAGCTTTGCTTGAGCTAACCTCATACAAGGATTGGGTGCTCTAATGCCAGGCTCCTAAAGCTGTCACCCAAGGGCAGTCCTTTCTGCTCTGACCTTCAGGCCTTCTGCCTGCCATGGGGCAGGAATGAAATGCATGCAGTGGGTGGAAGGGCTGAAGAGGGCGGAGGTGAGGTGCTCAGTGTAGCACCTGCTAACACAACAGCACAGCCACGATCGTGTTTGCAAACTGGGGCGTGCTGGGGCAGGGTGGGCAGGGGTTGCTGGAGAGCACGTCCCATGAGAAGGAGCTAAAGGAGTGAGGGGCTCAGGCTGAGACAGGGCAGCCTCGGGGACTAGGTGCTGCCCCATTTCATGGGGCGGGGAGGGGGGGGAGGCAACAGACTCATGGGCAGGAGAACCTCTAGAGCGGGTGGGGATCCAGAGGCAGGCCCTGAATCTGACAAACAGGGTGGCCGCAGCTGCCTGAACGCACACCGAATGGCCCAGGTGGGACCCAGGCACCCTCTCTGGGGAAAGTGTCCTGGGCCCCTGGGTCAACTTCCTGTACCTGAGACACCACGAGGACCTTGCCCGTCTCAGCATCCACCGCCTGCACGACGCCGGCCACGGTGCCATTGCCCACAGTGAGGCCCTGCACCAGCCCCGTGCTGCCCACGGTGGCCACCCTCTTGTTGCTGATGGAGAACAGGATGTTGGACTGAGGCTGGGGGCCGCCCTCCGATGTGATCTGGAGTGGCAGGGAACAGCGGGGGGGTTGGGTTATCAGCGATGCCTCCGGCCCCGGCCACTCTACCAAAGCCCATCAGGTGGTACGGGCAGCCCCTTCCTTGCCAGTCAGGCCTTGTGGCTCTTACCTGCATGGTGGCCCCAATGATCAGAGTCACCTTCCTGGGTATCATCCTGAATGGAGGGAAGACCTGGGTGTGGAGAGAGGAGGGAAGGGGGAGGGGTTCTGCCCCAAACTCACAACTCTTGGGTTTTAGAGGAGGGGGAGACATGAGGCTAGTCATTGCTCCACTGGGACGGTGGTCCACAGGGTCTGGAGTCCACTCCAGGGGAGCCGACGGGGCTGTTAGCCCAGGGACATGGCTGCCCCCTGCCACCCCCCACCTCCGGGTGCGCTGCCTTTGGCCAACTGCAGGCTCTGGCTGCGCTGCAGACGAAGAGCCGGATGGAAAGAAGGGCGTCTGCTCATCCGGGATCCCACCTGAGAAATCCCGGCGGAGCAAAGCTGCTCAAAGCGTGGGCCCCTGGTGGCAGCAGGAGCAGCACCTGGGGACATGCTAGAAAGCAAAGCCTCCAGCCCAGCCCCAAACCTGCACAGGAGTGTGTGGGTGTGTGTAGGGGGTCCTGCAATCTGAGCTTAAGCAGCCCTCCCAGAAATTCTGCTGCAAGTTCCCGTGGCCTCTGAGATGCCCCAACTCGAAGGGAGGGGCGGCTGCCTCTTCTCCCACACGTCTCCTAATCTTGACTGAGAGGCCACCTTCACAAGGCTCTCGGCTTGGACTCCCCCATCGTCTCAGATGAGGGGCAGGGTTTGGGGGCAAGGGGAAGCCCAGGCTGGAGACTGGGGATGCAGATGGCCGGCTCCGTAACAGGACAGAGCCCCACCACCTCTCTCCTGCCCCCTCTCGTTCCCTGCCTGAAAGGAGCTTTGGAAACCCTTGTCCGGCAGGTGAGTGAGTGCCCACGCTGGCCAGGGGGCACTTTGCGTGTGAGGATTAGTCTTTGTAGGACTGTGCTATTTATAGGCAGAGATGAATTCCTCATAGCAGGCAAAGACGAGTATATGTTCATCTAGAGGCAGAAGTCAGGCTCCTGCTCAGGAATGTGGATAAATAGCCCCCACCAGCGCTCGTGAGCCTGAGACCCACAGGGGACCTGGCCAAAGCCAAGTGGTTTGATGCGGCCAAGGGATCAGCTTGGACATAGTGTCCATGATCTCTGCTCTGGTCAGCCCTCATGCCAGGGCACAGCCCCCAAGTCACACAAAGGGACAAGGGCCCAGGACATCAGGGCCTGACGAGGACCCTCCTCCTGATGACCTCCCTGCTGTGCGCATCCCCGTGCAGAGCCCTGACCCCGGGCACTTGCTCTCACGTCCCTTAGGATGGATTGCGGGGGGGGAGTCCTCCCCACAAGGCCCAACATCCTCCGGGAGTTCCTGCCCAGCCGTTGCTTTCTGGAGTCGGTACCTGTCTGTCCCCTTCACCGTTGACAGGAGCTCAAGGTGTGAGCTATGCTTGACCATTACCCTTGATATGCAACACATGCCACTACCAGGCTCTTGAGCGACACTGTCCCCTTGGCCACAGTCTAGCTGTGCTGCCCAGGCCCCTGGGGCTGGTAAAAGCTGCCTATAGACCACAAGCACTGAGGAGCCCAGACTTTAGCATGGCCTTGCCATGGGCTGTCCCTAAAGCTCCCAGCCTGTCTGTCTCTGTCTCTGTCTCTCTCTCTCTCATACACACACACCACCTCCAACCCCCGTCTAAGCACAGGCATGCACACACGTGACAGGGGCCATTTTACTTCGATCTGCTGTGGGGCTGAGTTGATTCTCTGTCCAGCTTTGTCCATCACGGTCGCCGTCAGGCTGGTCTGGCCAATGGCCACACCATGGACCAGGAACGTGGCGGTGAAGTGGTCAAGGGCTTCATCAAGGGCTCTGGAATGGAGGGCAAAGTTGGGCTACACATGCAGACACACAGACACGCACACACTCCACTCGCCACCAGCAACAGACCCGTCCGGGGTTAGACCGTTCCCCGAGACCAGCCACTGCTGACCCGAGGGGCACTCACACCAGGGTGACGATCTGGGAGGCTGCTCGGAGCTTCAGGTCCATAAAGGTGAAGTACTTGGCCAGAAAAGGCTTCTTGTAGAAGTCCAGCACACGGACGTAGGCCTTGACCGTCTTCCCAATCTCTACCTACGTGGTGGTGCACAGAGATGCAGGGACAGTGCTTGAACAATCGATCCCACCACGGGTGGCATCTCACCACTTTCTGAGATAACGCCCCCCCACCTCAAGCCCATCGACCAGGAAATCAGGAACAATCGCCCCCAGTCGGCAGAGGGAAACCCGTTAGGTGCTTCCTGCATACAAGGGTCTTGGGGAGAGTTAGATTGGGGGAATTGCGGTCTCGGCTCTCAGATAGCTAACCGTCCGGCAGCTAGCGCGAGCACCAGGCAGTAGCTCTCTCTGCCTGGACTCGCTGCCACAGAGTGCACGCTGACTCCTAGTGACCCTACAGGACAGTCCCTTTGGCTTTCTGTGACTGTAAATCTTCACGGGAGCAGACAGCCTCAGCTTCGTCTCCTGGAGCACCTGGTGGGTTTGAACTGCTGACCTTGGGGTTAGCCGCCTAATGCATAACCCATGACACCACCAGGGCTCCTAGACACACAATAGGAGCTAAATAATGTATGTGCGCTGAGAATCCCCGCCCCCCCCTTTCCATTACCCAGAAAGCAAGAACGGGATGGCCGTCCTCTGTAAGCCTGGCTAGTATCGAGGAAGGGACATTCCCTCTTTGACAGGCACAAGTGAGCTGACTCTTCCATTCAGTCCTGCTGCAGAAGCACACAGCCTGAGTATGTTGTACTCCTTTGCCACCCAGCTTCCCCGGAAGCCCAAACCAGAGTTAGCAAGCGGCTGAACGTTTAGCCCGCTCGCTCCCCACGGCGGCCCGACGCTGGGAAACCCTCATCTTGAGGCTCATCCCGAGGCAGAATGTACAGTCAGTGAGAAAATGTCCCAGCAGAGGTTCCTCTGGGTCACCCACGCGGGGAAGACGGCTCCTCGGGATGAGACCAGGACAAAGGCAAACAGAATGCGCCCCCTTCCCTAGGTGGCTGTGGGGCGCACGGCTTCTGGCTTCAGAGGATCAGCAGAGGCCCGTCCAGGAGTTTACACAGACCTTGTCGACCACCCGGATGTACAGTTCCTGGATGTCGGAGATGGAAATGTCGGCCTTGGCCGGGGTCGGGAAGGACAGACACAGGTCGTGGATCCTGATGCTCAGGGTGCCGGGAAGCAGAGGGTGCACCTGGAAGACACACAGGGGCCTGGTTAGGTGGGGGAGGTGAGTGGGCGAGCCTCTGAGATCATCTCTGCTCCCAGGGTCTGCAGCAGCTCTGTGCCTCTGACCCCACCTGCACCCTGGGATGCTGTGTCTCAGCCTTGGCCGGGGGCTGGACAGAGGACAGGGCACAACCTTAGCAAAACCCCCCGCACTGGTGGCCAGGCTGCATGGACCCACCCCTAATGAGATAGGCTTGGACAGCGAGCACTGGAAGGTCACCCAGGGAAGCATAATTGTTTTACACAGCACCTTTTATCAAGGAAGGAGCAGCCAGGTGCCAGCCCCGGCACATGGACACTCACACTTGGAGGGAGAGCCCAAACCCAGGTCTCTCTCTAGATCCCAGCTACCTTTGCTGCAACCCTGGTAACAGGAAGGCTGGGTCCCAGGTCACCCCAGGTGCAGCAGCAGGCCAGGTTCCACAGCCTGGCTTTCCAGGGGATCTCTTTTAGAAGAACTCACAGAACCTGAGTTCAAGTCTTAGAACTCACTCCGGGGGAAGCCCTTCAGTGCTCATTCACCTCTGCACTGCGGCTCTATTTGTAGTTGAGCCCTCAGTCAGGCTCCCGGTGAACGAGCCAATCGTAGGTCATGTGTTCCAGCCAATCCACGGACAGAGACCTCTTTCTTTTTAAAACTCTTCTTCCATCTTTAAAAGAAAACGTCTCCCCACTGCGTCATGGCCACACTCTGGTGCTGCAGATGCTAGGCACTCCCTTGTCCCCGTAACATTCGCCTACTCAGAACGGACCTCCAGCAGCCTGTCCTGCTGCTTGGGCACGAGTTTCAGATGCTGGACGGTGAAGCTGGGCAGAGAGGAGTCCCGGAACTAGGGAGGAAGCCCCATGGGATAACTCCACAGCTCCAGCTGAGCCTGCCTCCGTGGGGCCGCGTTCCCTTTGTGGTCTTATAACGACGCTTGCTTGTGGGTTCTGAGGGCGTGCGTGCTGGGTCCAGCAAGCAACTGTTTGCAGTGGATTCCCAGCCGTCGAGACCTTACAGAAAGACCTCAGACTGCTGACTCAAAGGAGACAGCCAGGAAGGAGCCCATCGTCCCCAGGTGGACGCTCTGATCCATGCTGGCCGCGCGGAGAAGGCAGTCTATGTCCTCCACAGGACAGTGGGCTCTGGCTCCGGCCCGATCATCTATGTTCCCTATTGCCTAAGCTCCAGCCACCCTGGCCTTCTCGTGGTTCTTCGAAGCCAGGGGGATCCTCTTGCCTTGGGGGTTCATACCCACCCACTGCCAGGAGTCAACTCTTACTCACAGCAACCCAATTTAAGGGGTCCTGAGGCCCCAAAGATTTCCGGAAGTAACCAGCCTCTTCTTTCTCAGTGTCACCCCTACTAGCTTTCATGGGCTCTGATCCGGGGCACTGCCCTCTCCTGGCAAAGTCTGGGCAGCCACACACAGGCAGGCCACGGGCCGTGTCAGCTGATGGCTCAGTGGCTTCTGGGAAGCTTGGTAGGGTCGCTCGTACAAATTCTATCTGTCACAGGACAAGCATGGTGTGTGCTGGGCCCCAGGAAGGGGGGTCTCGGGCCTGGTGGGATGAAGAGGAAGGAGCCCCTGGTAGATTTAGACTGCGGGGAGCAACGGGGCCTCCTCTTCCCCCACCTTCACCTGGCTGGCTCCTACTCACCCTGCCAACTTTAGCTCCCGTGGATTCCTTCAGGAGAATCTTCCCTGGTGCGGCAGGTGGCTCCAGTCCCACGGACCCTCTGGCCTGCTCTGAAGGTCACCCTCACCTGTCCTTAAACGTCCACACAGATGGGTGCTGAGTGTCTCCCTCCCCTTCTGGCCCAGGCTGTCGGGAACCCTTCTGCAGCCTCGGACCCAGTCCGTGGCCCGTCAGCTGCAGCTGACCTGAAGGCCAGCCTGGGAGTCTGGGAAGAACTGTGCCCCAGAGGGACTCTCAGTGGCTGTGTTTTGGGGAACCTAGTGGCCAGGCTGTTCTTCTGAAGTGCCTCTGAGTGGACTTGAATGCCAACCCGTCGGCGAGTAGCCACATCTGTGAACTGTCTCATGACCCAGGGACTTGCCTGTACAGCCCCCAGGACACATGCCCTGATGAGCTGATTGAGCCAGGGCCACCAGGCAAGTGACGGAACAGAGGCCATCTCCTGGTGCTTTGGCATGCTTGGCTTTACGGAGAATAGTAGTAGTCTAAGAGGTAGACATCCGGAGGTGCTCATCTTAGCATTTTCCAGTATCTATTTGGATAGAGCCAATTCCGGGGCACTTTGATGTACACATGGGAGACGGACGCCTGCATGGGCTGGGAACCTGCCTTGGGTTACACACAGACACAAATGGCAAAGCTGGGGAGGTGCCCAGGTACTCTGGCCCCCGTCTAGGA